GGACGAAATGTTGGAAGAAGACATAATTGTTGAATACAATATAAACATTTCAAAAGTAATTTTTGTTCATGATCAACTGCTAATAATCGAACAATGGGTGGTATACAATGTCGACGACCAAGAATTAATGGAATATTTTCATTTTCTGTTGGTATTCGTCGTAATAATTCACTTATAGCATCAAGTACAATATATAATTGATCACTCGTTTTTAAATTTAAAAATTCAACTAAAGTTGAAACACCCATCGCATCTTAAAGAAAATAAAAATAATATTTTGTTTTTGAAAATGAAGAATCTTTTTTTACAAGCCATTGATTGTTTTCGACTTCGTTCATTTCCTGTCAATGACCAAAGTGTACATATGATTGAAACACGTAATCTTGGTAATGTTGCTTTATTTAATAGGATTAAAAGTTGTTCAGCACCACCTTGTTGTAATAGTGTTAATTGGGATGCTGTATTATGAGTAACAATCATCTACAAAATAACTTATTTCTTAGTTTTGTTTAATAATAAAAATTTACTTGAAGTGTATCTACACTTGAACGTTGGACATCTCTAAAGGATGAATTTAATGCATTTAATAAATGTGCAATTAATAAACGATTATCTGCACATATTTGTTGATGTTGATCATTTTGTAAACATAATTCACGAATAAAATGAAGAACTGATATTGTTAATTGACGATCATATTTGTCAAGTAAATGAATACCTTGTTCAAGTATAGTTCGTTCAGTTGCTGAAGATTTTTGTATTAAAATTTGATAATCTGTTTTACAACGAGCTATTTTACCAAGAATATCAAAATAAAGACAAGCTTCAGTTTTCGGAATATTCATTGTATCTTGATCTAATAAAATTTGTAAATTACTAATTAAATTTTGATTAACAAATGATTGAATACAACGTATATCATCACATAAATGACACACGATTTGAGAAAAAAGTAATGAAAGTGTATCCGTTGTTTTTGGCATTTGTACAAATGCACGTGCTGCTTCATCATTTTGATTAAATGTTGAACGAATATTTGGGTCAATACATAAAAGATTATAAAGTATAATTAAACAACTTGTTAATAATTGTTCATTAAAATTAGTATTATTATTAACAGTTTGAATAAGTACTTGGATAGTTTTTTCTACGAGACGTAAATTATAAAGATATGACCATGCAATTTTTATATATTTCGGTGCTGTTAATTGTTCAAGTATACGTCCTGCCGCTGATGATTCATCAGATATTTTCGAAGTAAACATATTCATTAATGTATTCCATATGTCAAGTTCATTTGCATAGGGTGCTTGGGAAAAATATAGTAATAATTCAACATTCTGTTTTAAAATAGCTATTGCAGCCATAGAACGATTTTCACCATCACGACTTGTGACTTTAGCTCCATGACTTATTAAACATTCAATAGTACGACGTGCATTACCAACTGTTGCTGCTAATATTGGTGTTAAACGAAAATAATCATATGTTGTTGTTTCAACCATTTCTTGTATACGTGCTTGATGAAGAAGATTAGCACGTTCTTTTTCTTCTTGTGATCGATGATCTTCATTTTCATTATTTTTATTTCCATCTTTTGAACATAGATTAGCTAAAATTCGTTCAACAACAGTATCATAATTACGAAATGCAGCTTCATGTATAGGTAAACGACCTTCATTATATTCATGTGCCATAGCTAAAACAATGTTCAAGTAAATAAAGTTTTCATTATATTTAACTCATTCATATGCCTATCTATATTCATAAAGAAAAGAAATTTAAAATACCCGTACAAGGTTTTTTTATTATTCTACTATTCAATATATAATTGAAGTAAGCACTTTTTTGAACAATAGTTTGAAATATTATTTTTTTCTGTTTCGAAAAAGAAATTTATACTTACAGAATAAAATCCGTTGTTAACAAGTGAAAAAAAAAATTTTTGTCGGTGTTCTTGCGCTACCTAATGATTCTTTTTTAGTTATACAAAAGAAAAAAATGTAATAATATTTTCGAGTATTGTTCTTTTCTTGTTGAATTATTTTTTTATTGACTCATATGATCTTGCATAATGAATACATATATATATATATACTTAAACATGTCTTCATTCGCTCTTCGCAGAAAAAAAATAATGTTTATATGTATTTAATAGTAATCTAAATTAAATTTGTCTTAAAAAATTTTTTGTTAAATGAAAAATAAATTGAGCAGAGAAAAGAATAGAGAGAGCGAGAGAAAAAATGTGAAGACCTTTTTATTTACTAGTTTAAAAATGAATGGCATAGTGGAATTGATGAAATAAACAAAAAAATTATAACCGTTTTTTTTTTCAATTTTGTTTTTAACCACTTACATTAACTCGAAGTTCCGTCTCTTTAACAACAATAACAACATGAAAAAGAAAAGTGAAATCCATTAGCGATTTGTCATACACTGTATAGGCAACATGCCAACGAAATAAAACATAAATTTTATATTCTACAATGAGCAAGCCAAAAAGTGGAGCGAGGACACCATCGCATAGGTGAATTTTATACGATAAACATTTTTGTTATTTATAATTATTGAACATTGTATAATTTATAGTGCAAAAGGATCAGCATCTTCACGTGGTGGTGAATCAATTGACGATGGAGTTGGATCATCGAATACTTATGATAATAATGGATATTTACCTATACATCGAGCAGTTTTCAATGGTTATGAAGTAACATTAAAGAATATTTTAGATGATGCACTAAAACGAAATGAACTTAATCAACAACTTGAAGCTAAAACGGAAAAAACAGAACTTACTCCACTACTTTTAGCTACGGCAGTTGGACGAATACAAATTATCTCATTTTTACTTAAATATCCAGTTAATATAAATGCAGTTGATGTCAATCAACAAGGTAAACATAAAGATTACTAACATTTTATAAATAACAAATCAATCGAAACTATTTAGGTATTGTTGCTATTGCTGCTCTGTCACAAAATGAACGTACACTTCGTTATATTATTGAATTACCCGTTGCAGATAATTCATTAAATGTTTGGAAACCATTATTTAAATTATTTACTTCATTAGGTGATGATGAAAGTAGTATTGGTGGTCGTGCACTTGAATTACTAACTCGTCCAAAAGCCGATACGAATCAAGGAAGTATATATTGGCAACCAATAATTGTCAATGGTCTTATTCCAGCATTAGTCGATATACTTACTGAATCAAAAAATGATGATGTACTTACAAGTGCATATCTTATATTATTACATGCTGTTAATGAACAACCACGTATTCATAATGATTTAATATCAAATAAAAAAGTCTTTAGTTCAATGTTAAGACATACACGTTCAACAAATAAAGAAATTGTTACATTAATAGGACGTTTATTTGCATCATTAACTAAACAAAGATCTTTAGGTCAAACAATGGTTGAACAAAGTATTTTTGAACCATTAATGACACTGATTGATAAAGAACGTTCACCAGAAGTAATCAGTTCATATTTTGATTGTTTAGCAAATATTGTTTCGTATTCATCTGTATATCAAATACAAATAGCGAATTATCCATTCTTTCTTCAATTACTTATTGATCATTATTTACAAGAATTCGATTTAGATTTATCATTATCGGTTATGAATTTTGTTCGTCAATTAGTACTTAATAATCAAGATATACAAAATTTACTTGCAGAAAATGGTGCATGTGAACATATACTTGGTGCATTAACAGCATCATCAAAAGATTTACAACAAATAGCTATTGAAACTATTCGAGCATTCGGTGATAATAATCCTCAAGTACAATATATAATGATAAGTGAAAATGCTCTTGAACAATTATTAAATTTATTAGATAAAACAACCGTAGCTAGTTTACAAATAGCTATTGTTTGTACATTATGGACATTATGTGGTGATAGTGCATCACGTAAACGTGATGTTGCAACACGTATTGGTGTTAAAAAATTAATTAGTCTTTATAATATTAAATCTGAAGAACATTTATATGCATTAACGGATATTATTGGAGAATTAACGAAACGAACAGCAAGTGTAAAAACAAATATAGCAGAAGAAATCAATCGTGCTGTGGGATTACCACCAATTATACGATTATTAACATTAAATAATGAACAACTTGTTTTAAGTGCTTTAAAAACTCTTCAATTACTTGCATGTGCACCTGGTTATATTCCAAATCAATTGAATCAAGAAGCAATTGTTAAATTTGATGGTATACCATTTATTGTAGCTTTAATGATGCATGTTAAGAATGAACTTATTCAAGTTGAAGCTGCACAAACATTAGCATGTATTGCATTAGGTATTAGAATTGATTTATTTAATAGACAAAATTCAAAATATTCTATTATTTTCTTTTAGGAAATACTCAATGTTTAACACTTATTGAGACGACATTAGATTTTTCCTATACATGTTTACTTAAATTAATTCAATCAAAAAATTCAACTGTACAATTAAAAGCATCAAATGCATTGGCAACATTTATTTATAATAATCAACGCTTAGAAATGTTTCTTGCGAGAGAATGTCAATTTTCATTTGCTTATTTTGAAAAATTTCTTGAAAATAATAATGATCATATAAGATGTGCAGCAGCCTTTCAAGTAAATTTTATATATATATATTTAACTGATTATTAGTAGAATATTATTCGATTTAGATTGTTGCATTAGCTGATTTCATTCATGAACAATCCCAAGCTATGAGTGCAGCTATTGGATGTGGAATTCTTATGGATATTCTTCGATTATCTCGAACTGATGAAGCAAAATCAGATGCTGCTGAATGTATAGCTCGACTTGCACATATGAAACCAAGTAAATAATAAAAAAAATGTTTTTTTCTTCCTCTTATTATTCTCTAAATTATTTATATATCAATATATACATAACATAGTTAATTATAGTTTCGGAGACAACTAAGTATATAGGTAATATTATTCAAATATTTATCTATATAGGTTTTTTTCTATCGTTTATATTCAATGCTATTCTTTGATTAGTTGCATTTTGTAGACTTGTTTATAATAGATCTTCTTATTCTTCTTTTTTTCTATACGAAATATTTGCATAAAGAATTCTTTTAGGTATACCACATGCATTAATTGCAGCTAATGCAATCGATTATTTATGTGATTTATTTTCGTCGACTAATGATACAACAATTGGTATTGCATCTATAGCACTTGGATATTTATCTTATGTCCCCGAAGGACAAAGAAAATTGTTACATAGGTATTAAAAGAAAAACAAATAACTTTTTTTTTTTTTGAAAATATCTTTTATTTAAGATGTCGTGGTGAATTGGATATAATGGCTTTTCTTAAAGTATATAATTGTTTACCTGGTACAACACCGCGTATGTCAAAACATTTACTTGAAGCTTGGGATCGATATAATTCACTCAAACTACCAAAATTACGGTTAGTATAGGATATTTCTATTGTAGTAATAATGGCAGTGTCTATCGTTAATCATATTCAAAACACAATCTCGTTCTTAGATGCGCGAGATATTGTTTTTGAATTATTCTTCTTCTTATCTAATAGCTTGATATTTGCATAACAATCTTTTTCCATATTAATGCTTTTGCTTGCATATGAAAAAAAAAGAATTAATGTGTCAATTATTTAACATCAAATATCTATTTTAGACCACGCGGATCAAATGTTCGGTATTTTAAAGTTCTTGCAAATAGTATCGAACGATTACGAGCACCACCACAACCAAATATCGAAAAAGAATCAATTTCATCAAATCCAGTCAAATTTTATTTACCACCTATTCGTCAAAAAGTTAACTAGTCTTTAATTTATCATAACATATTTTCTATGTATATCATATAACAGAACATGAAAAGCAAATAATTTAATTTTTTTTAAGGATACGATTAAATACATTGTATTGATCATGATAAAAAAAAAAGATTATTTTTCATTCAGCGTGTTTTATATAAGTAGAACAAAGAGAATCACATAAAATGGGTATTTTAATAATACATATTAATATCCAATAAATAAGTAGATATGAATTCTACTAGCAGAAAGGCAAGATTTGTTGTTAGATAACAGTCGTCAATTATTGCACATGATCATTGTTGACATAGTAGAAAGACTATAATTAACTTGTCATAATTATACTTGATTCATAATATCGGAAAAGACAGTATATATAATTAAAGATACAACTTGTCATAATACTTTTTGTAAATAATCGTTAGAAACGATGTGTTTTTTTAAATTAGAATTTACATGTTTTTATTTTTCTAAATGTTTTTTTTGTGACAAAAATTCAATTCTCAAACAAAGAAAAAAAAAAAGTTCAAATTAACAATCAACAAAATAATACTTCAATTCATACATTTATAAACTGTTCTTTGAAACTTATCTTAGATTACTAAAACAAAAGAAGGAGAAGAAAAAGAAAGAAGAAGAAGAAGAAAAGAAATACTTGAAAATAAGTTTGAATTACAATAAAATAAAATATTTTCATAATCGTGAATCTGCATCTTTTAAAATATGAGTATTATTATTTTCCGGATGTAAAAGATCATTTCGATTAATAGTCAAATCTACTGCTGTTCCATCACTTCCATTACGTTTTCGATGATATTCTGTTGTCTTCTCATTTTGATAATGCGCTGTTGAATTAACTAGAGGAAAAGTAGTCCTTTGAGTATTCTTTCCGTAGCCAGCATTTGTTGTTGTACCTAATCCTTGCCCACCGCCTCCGCCCTCAGCAATAGTAGGAAGACCAGCATGTGCTAAACTTATTCGAGCATATTCAGGTAAAATTTTTTTACATATTGGAATAGTAAAAATCATAACACGAAGTTCTTGACGAAAAACATTAGCTGTTAAAAAATATAATAAAAAATTCGCTGCTGTATTTGCATAATAAATTAATGAAAACATTGTCCATAATGATTGTGAATTGGGTCCGTGTAAATTATTAAATAAATGTCCAAATGCCATAAATGTTGATGCAGGTGCTGTTAATAATATAAATACACATGAGACAGATAAAAGCATTATTGTCATATTTCGTTGTTTAGCTTTTTTACGTTGATTTTTTTGATTAATACGTTCTTGAATACGACGTGCTGATGCAATAACTTTTAATATTAATGAATTAAGTATTAACATAACAACAAATGGACATAATGTAAAGAAAAACCATTGAATATATCCAATCATATTCGAACGAAACCATACATAATGTGGATCATTTGCTGTTATATTACATACACGTCTATATAATATTGTACGATTTAATGATGTTGAACCTTGTTTTATAGGTACGAATTGAAGTTTATAAAATATTGCCCAATGTAATTGTATCAAGACGGAAAATAAACAAATAAAACTAATAATTATATAGGCATTTTTAACAGTACAATGTCGTTTAGAATAATGATGTTTAGCTACAGCAAGATAACGTTGAACACTAACAGCAACAAGTAATGTTGGAGATAGATTAATAAAATAATAAGTAAAAAATATATGTAATTTGCATGTTATATTGCTATATAAACGCATATTTTGTTCGGGATCAATACGAATAAGATAGAAATTTAATACACTAAAGAAAACATTACCTAAAAATACAAAAAAAAAAAAGAAATTATTTTTGTAAACTTAATAATTATAATTTAATTGTCTACCAAGATCAGATAATGCTAAAGCAATGAGATAAATTGATGTAACTTGAGCTCGTAATTTTTTTCGGCTAAGTGTTAATGCTGATAGAGTATTACCAATACCACCGATGACAATTAATAAACTACCGATAATTCTAACAGACCATTTAAGAACAACAAAGCGATTATGATTGGAAAGTGCTGTAGTAACAGATGATGTTGTTACAGTTAAAATTGACATAGATGGTGATGAAGGATTTGATGCTGATTGAATTTGATAACTAAATGTTGCTTCAACCATAGTAATATTATAATCGAAAAAGAGTGGCTCGAGCCAAAGAACATCTTCGTTGACCATTGACATTGTCAACGACAAAAATAAACGATTTAGATAATGAATGATGAGCATAGAAGCCGAAAGTTAAAAGCGGCTCGTATTCTCGCCGTGTGACCTAAATAAATAATGACAATCGAAATCAATATTTGATCTTTTTACGACGACGACAATACTGTTCCGAGGGTAAATCTGATTCTATATTTTAAATACATAAATTTTTCTAGTTCCGTGTACTATCTTATGATTGATTTAACCTAGATGAAGGAATAACAAAATTTCTCTATCTATTTCTTACTAGTTCGTTCTATTTGTGAGTACATGGAATCACCACCGATGTCATTTGTTACATTCTTGCTATGTTAACATTCATATAGGTGTTAAACAAAAAGTCACGGAAGTAAAAAAAAGATCGGTATGATATATATATATTCATACTCTTGTCTAATTTAATCTTCTTACTGTTAGCTTTTTGTCTGAAATAGATGTTGACAAGCTATGAAGTGAAAAGCTAAATAGTAATAATCATAGTATAGGAAAAAAGACCTGACATCAATGTGAACAAATAAATAATGGAGATTTATTAGTCATTTATTTGATTATATAAATCAATCATTATTATAATCGTACTAAGAAAAAAAGCAAAATCGATAGAACGAATAAGAAATTGTGGTTTTTAGTTTATCAAATAGATGCTATTTCGTGTGAAGAATATTTTCTTTTCTGCATAGCATTTATTGTTAATTCAATTTTTACTATCTTCTTCTGAATAAATCAATTTTATCCAAGAATATTCAACGGGAAGCAAAAAAAGTAAATGGAGCTAAGAAATAAAAAGAAGAAATTTATATTGAGATTAACTTTTACTACTATCGTTGTCGTCATCATTTTTCATTAATCAAATAGAGAAAAACAGTAAATTTGCATGTAAAAAAATAAGGGTTTTAGCTCAATTTTTCTTTTCTTTATTCTTCGCCTCATCTCCCTTTAGACTTGATTATACTACATCAGTTGTCACGACGAAAACAGTTAAAACTACAGCTAAGCTCATTTAAAATTATTTTCTATGTGAAAAAAATCTTCTTAAATAAATATATAATTTATTCGGTGTTTATTTTCCTATTGAATTAATTTTTAATTAATATAGGAAAAAACAAAAAAACGTAGAATTTACTTTTCTCATTTTAGTTAAACTACATACTCAATATGTATAAAAGCATATTACAAGATTTGAAGAGCAAAAAATGGATCATATAAATATTAATGATACTTGACATAAATCTCTCAACGCAAATTAATATCGACTTGTTGTCTCGCCCAAAAAAAAATGAGTAAGAATCTGTCATTTGCATTTAATAAGTGTCAAAACTGACTCAATCATTTTTCTTTTTCCTGCTAAAATACATGTCATCAAATTAATCTGATTAACTTTTATAATACCTTTATTTTATTCTATACAATCGCAGTGAACCAATTGAAAACTGATGATAAGAACCAAAATGGAGTGGAAAAATAAGGTTCATTGCTTCGGTTATTTCTTTCTTCGTATTGTGCTTTGTTATTCTGTTTTCTTTTCCTCGATTACTATTAGAAAATATTTAGTCTCCCTCTCTCTCTATATATATATATATTTATATGTGCATCGTATGCAACAGTATGAACGACTAAAGATAGAACTGTTTCAACGGAGGTTTCTCAAGAGGATTAGTGTATTATATGTTCTATAGGGTTTTTCTGTATGCTAGAGCATTAATGAAAAGAAGAAGAAGAAGAAAAAAAAATAAATAAATCACGAACTATATAGGATGTTGCTCAAATAATTAAAGATCATTCAATTTTAAATATATTATTGTATGATAATGATAAAAATTATGTATTATTTTAATAAATCATAATCAATTAAATAAATATACTATTTGTTATGTTATATGTAGATTATCTTTAAATATAAAAAACACTTAGAATATATTTGTCACGAAATGTTGCGCCGAAGATTTTATTCTTTAATGTAAATTTTGTTACCGATAAACATATGCTCACCCACGTATAATCATTGATAGAAATCTATGATTTATATCTCAAGTATTCTCATGAGAACTTAAGACAGTGTTGTCGCTTGGGATTGCTTAGACTATTGAAGAATGTATTGTTTGAAGATGAATCTATATTCAGCTAGTCTTTTAGTTGATGTTCTTATACTCTTGCCGTTTGAATAATAAATGAAAGCAATTTTTATTTGTACTTCGTTCCCTTATAATCTTTTTGTTCGGCAAATATACTAGACACATTCATTGGTTTCATAGAAAAAGAAGAAGGAGAAAGGTAAAAGAAATATATAATTAAACAATATTAGCAAAGAAAAGAAATAAATTAAATTAAAAAACATTTATTATTACTCACATGAAAAATAATAATAATAGACTATAGAGGAAAAACAACGTATAATAGTATTTTCAAAATTTATTATTAATTTCTATCCGTATCCATAACGGGAACGAGTTATTGAATGACTTCTATTATCTTAAATTGCTATCGGATATATATTTTTGGATGAAAGAGTTTAGTCACATATGCGATAAACAGAAAAACAATATTTTAGAAAGATATCCCTCGTTTTTTCTCATTATGTACATCAAATTTATTCCATAGGTCCATTAACGATTTGTTGTTCTTTTTATCGTAAAAAAAATACTATTACTATATATAAATATAAAGAATAGCAATGATATGACTAGCTAAAGTGTCTAAATTATCTTATCATTTAGAAGACTCAATATCACTTGCCTATATGGTAATTGTATAAATGTATATCTTCAATATATTTATATTAGACAGTTGCTACAAATATTTAAGGAAGAGGAGAATTCCTCAATCTTGATGGAAACTCCTGTCATATATATATTTAGTCTATTGATCGGAAAGGTATTTATCTTCAGAGTACATTCAATGATATCTCATTAGGGTATATGAAAGTATTTACATGTCAAATTAATTTTGTACTATCTTAAGTTAAGCAGATATACTCGCTTAATCCTCTAATACTTACAACTTTTCTTAAAGCTAATCGGATACATTTTTTTACTTGAAAATCTTCATTTATAAAAACTATTCGATGATCTTAATAATGAAAGCTTCTCAAAATATATATTTGTATTGTTAATCAAAAATTAATGCAATTGATCGTTCATCAACAAGTGATGTCATCATTTTTTTTTCCACTACAACTGTTTTCAATTACTAGAGTATCTTTATTCATTGTCCCAACTCTATTCTCTAGAGACGAAAGAGATCCTTGATAAAATCAATCATTTTTAGATAAATCTATAATAGACATGAAGAAAACTTCTGTAGTTAATCATTGATTGATATACACAATTTCACTATATTTTCGAACTTGATTAGTTAAATTTTATTATATGTATATATACTACTAAAAATGATGCATTATGACAAGATCTTGTTAAGTAATTATTTATTACATCTATATATATTTTTTTTGTTGTAGATTTAATCATTAAAAAATATTTTTCTTTTATCTATTCATGCTATTGAATACAAATGGCACTAGTTCGATAAACAAAAATTAAATCAATAAAAAAAGAAGAAAAGATATTATAATTATTTAAGCATGCGTTTCAAATTAAATTAGATTTAAACAGTTAAGCAAATACATATTAAACACGTGTTTTTTTCTTATGTTGATAATAATTGAGCTTATTTCATTGTCTTATTATTATTATTAGTTAATAGAGAAAAAAAAACATAGAGAACCGTATGTGTCTCCTAAACCAGACATTTTTTCTTTATGAGAAGAGTTGCATCTATTTTTTCTTGTTTTTCGCCACTATGTCCTATCTCAGTCAACATTGATCGAACATACATGAGACTAAGTGCCCGTAGGGTGTGACAAGGAATGTCAAAGACGCAGACTTAGTCTCTTCTCTTCTCTTCTATCTTTCTTTTACTTCGAAACCATTTCTTTGTCATCACCAACGTCATATTAATAGATACTATTCGATTAAATCAAACAATGATGGGCAAAGGCTTATGAAAACAAATGATGCTATAAATATATATATACATAAACTAAATAATGGCTAGTGCATACTACATATATATATATATATTTCCCTTGATTTAAGTCTAATAATCGTTTCCAATAGTCACATGCTTTACTGAATTTTTGATCATACTATGATTTGATGCAAAAAAGAAAGTGTCAAATCAATGCATCTACGATCTGTTGATTACATACGATATGTTCAATCAAATAATATGAATAACAATCTATCTATATCAAAATCTACAATAACTATTAAGTTTGTTTTGTTGAGATTTTACATTAAAAAAACAATCTAAGATATATATGAGCCTACTATTGTTTCAGATCAAAAAAATTTGAATAGATTTCCGAACGTGATTTGGAAAGGCTATAAATCTTTAGTATTACTCTTTTTAATTATAGATCTTTTTCAAATAGTTGATGTAAATTATATCGAAAAATACTTACGGGCATTGCTAATATGTTGATTCTCATTATATTGTTGCCTTCAAGGTAAAGATATGAATGAAGTAGAAATAATGACAATAATAATGACGATTTAGTTTATTCTGAATGATGTCGATCGTTCGTTCGTTCGTTGTCCTTGTCGTTTGACTGTCAATAGGCTAATAAAGACAAGATTTCCTAAGAAAAAAGATTTTTCTTTTGCATTTATATCTCTACAATGATAAACACTATATGAAATGAAAAAGCACTGTTTGATCAGAGACCGTACAATAAAAGAAGAGAGAGAGACAGAGAGCGAGAGAGAGAAAGAGGGGGAGAGAGATATGAGTTTTTGACGAAAAAAAAACGGCAAAAAGAAGGGAAAATTTTTAGCATATCTTTCTTGTTTTTTTCTGCACTACATGAAAAAGAAAATAACAAGTAAAAAGATTCCTCATTGTTAACACTCCTATCATTCGATTCATTCCGCCCCCATTGTCACACATAGATATATAGATATATGTATGTGAAATTGACGCTAGTTAAAATGAATAGAGGAAAGAATGTCGGAAATATATATTGATTAGCTGATAAGAACAAAGAGGAAAGGAAAGTACAAGTCAAAAAAGCAAATGCTAATCATCATTTACATCAATTATAACGTTACAAAAACGAAATAGATGAAGAAGATTTTAAATATAAAATAACATTGATTCAATTAATTTAACGTAGAACACAAAAAAAGAACATAGACGACAGACATGGTTTTATATAAGAAATATCGAGTAATTCAATGGTGTTCACTTTTTAGTCACTGTCTACATAAATCGTTCACGCTTTTAGATAGATAGCCGGAAGCGGAAGTTCAATTGATGGCTTAATATATGTAGAGGTCAGGCTAGGAAACAGATACACATTGACAATATGTGGTATATATATATATATATATTAATGTCAAACACACATCTATATAATTATAGTTTTAACTAAATCTATCATAATAACACTTAGGTTTTTGATTTGATTCATGTAGCAGATTTTCATTCATCAATTGAAACTGTAATATATCAAAGATAAAAGTGTTTCTCCCAGTTCTCATTAGTAGTTTAACATGCAATATTATTCTTTGTTTTCCTTAGAGTACTACTTTCAACATTAGAGCCGAAGAAAAAAACATATAGATATATATATTAAAATTTTCCAGATAGATTTATATATCCAGCTGTTTCATTGACCTTTTATTTGCAATATATATATATAAAGCTTAGTTGTTTTCGTATAAACATTGACTATATATGTGTTTGTACATCTGCGGAATTCATAAAACAATATATAATTAATTGATCTTTTCGTTATGAAGAAAGATTCGTATACATAGAGATAAACGATAGCGAACAGATAAACAAATGAATAGAAACGTCAATAACAATAGTAATAGCAGCACATCTGGTGAAGTATGTTTGACCTCGTATAATGGTCAATCAATATTGAATAGTCATGGAAGTGATTGGTAAAGAAGAAAAAAAAATATATGAAAGATAACGGTCGAGAAGGACGAATCATTTATATTGACCTTCCATACTAAGCTCATCTCTCACATTCATTTCATTACAAGAAAAAGATGATGACTTATTTCCTCTATTCCTATGTTTTACTTCTTCTATGTTTTATTATAAATGATGCAAAACAATTTGAAAATCCTTTACAAGGTATAATATCATAGTTAATCATTCTATTTCTCTTATATTCATTTCTATTTTTATCTAGGAACAAGTTCAGTATGCGCTGATGTTTGCACATCACCTGAAGCTCATATTGAATTAGATTTAAGTGAACCACGAATCTACCGAGAAAATGAACGAGCTCAAATAACACTTCATCATACCGGTAGCGGCCGTTGTCGAGAACCAGGTATAAATTGAAGTTATAAATAACATCGGCTAGTAAAAATATCCATATTCATTCTTGAGATTATTTCTTCAAGCTATATCTAAATAAAGAAATCTTGATGTATTCTGTCTATTGGAAAGATCATGTGGAATTAATAGAAAGTGAAAAGACGAAATCTAATTCTTATTCTAATTTAGCTTTACTTCAAATTCCACTTGAAAAAATTGGTCAACATGGTATTATAAAATTTGATTTAAATTTCGGTCCTGTTTTACATAATTTCAGTATTGATATTGGTTTGTAGAATTATTTAATGTAATTAAAAAAAAATAATTTCTTGTTTAAAGGATTTAATAATGAAGATAATAACACAATACGAAGTGTAAATATATTTAATCAACAAGTAACAATTGAATATCGTTCACATAATGAAAATAAAATTGATATTTATGAACAATCAGTAACATTAGTTGAACCAGGTGAAGATTTAATAATATATTTATCGAATGAATGGATACATATTGAAAATAAACAACGTCAACAACAAAAATTAACTGTTCATTTTAATCAAACGGATATGTTTTTATTTAATCGAAATTCTTCATTTTCGAATCTTTATATTGGTTTGAATCGGAATATAAATGGAAAACAAACTGGTATTGGTCTTTGTTTAGCAAATTTAACTTTTATTGAATGTACAGCAGATCAACGTATGTGTATATCCTTTCGAAAGAATTCTTTCTTTATATGTACTTGAATTTAGAATCTGCTTTGGATATTGATGTAAATAATAAAACATTTGTTCAACGTGATCTTGAAAATATAAATTGGATTAGTCATTTAACTTATCTTGATCCAAATGCTGATGTACGTGAATGTACTGCACAAGGTTTGTTATTGAAAAGTTTTGTTTAGTCAAATATTAGAAAATATAAATAGGTGTTGTTCGTTTAACATTCGATCCATCTGGAACAAGACGTATTGCTCGATTTGATTTAAATATGGGTTCACAAATTCAAGGTTTTACATTTAATATTGGTGATTCAGCAACTAATAATGGTTATGGTGGTGATGGTGGTACAACATCAAATTCAGCTGAAATTCATTCAAATGATAATCGATTTTATGTAAGAGTTGTATAAAGAAATATTTCTATAAAAAAAACTCATTTTTTTTATTTAAGATTTGGGCAAATACAAAAATATGTGGTGATACACTTTTATTAAAAATTGATTATAATGTTATAGAACCATTTGATAATATTACAATTTTAATTAGGTTTGATTTAGAAAAAAAAGTAAATCTTCAAAAATAAAATTTATTTTTCTAGTAATGAACGTGTTGAATTAACTAATCATCGTTCCTATCATCAAATTCTTTCTAATCCTTATTTATATGCACTTGCTAAACAAAATGTAACCTGTAATTGGTAAGAACTATGATTTCCTAAAATTCCTATATATACATAAAAATTTGTTTAGTTTTGATTCACTTTGTTATCCTGGTGTACAACCAGATAATGATATTTATTTTGGTATCAATCGTGTTATTGGTGGAACTTATCGTCCTGGCACAGGAGTATGTAATGCACATGTCAATTGGCTTCAATGTAAAAAAATCGGTAGAGTATAAAAGAAAACTAATCTATAAAAGAAGTCTTCCATAACTAATATGGTTTTGTTTTATTTGTAGAAGTATCACCTAGAAATAAATACGAACCAATAACTACAACAACCGAGTCAACAACAATCATGTCAAGCACTAATAAAACTGATCTAACAACAAATTTATTCGAGCATTCAACTGAAATAATAAATACAACAGAATCATCTTCATTATCTATGATAACGGAAGAAAGTCATCAAAATGACACATCTTCAACAATGATTTATTTCAACGAACTAACAACAACACAACAAGAAATAACTCCTACAACATTAGAAGTTAATTATATGACAACAAGTCAAGCAAATGATGAAGACACAACTTCTTTTATAAGTTCATCAACAAATGTAAATGAAGAAGAATTATTAACAACGAATAATAAACCTAGTCTATATCATTTATTAACTAATTCATCACAATATAAACCAACGGAAAATCCAATCATTATTGAAGACATCACAACAACAACAACAAAAAGTAAAGAATAAATTTAAATTTTGATTTTGAAAAAAAAAAACAATGATTTTTAGTTATAGGAACAAGTGTAAATCCATGTACATTAGAAAATCTTCGTGCTAATTTTGTCTATCATGAATATTCATTAGATAAACATAAATTTATCTTTTGTGATAATGAAGGCAAAATGAATATCATTGCATGTTCACCAAATTATATTTGGTCACAAACTGAACAATCATGCATTTTACCAAACTAAACTAAAAATTCTTTGTTTTGTTGTTGTTTTCGTCTTTTTTTTTGTGTCAAAGTTTGTTGTCTGATGTGTTTGTATCTTAATTAAATTAAATTGTTTAAAAAAAAAATAGTATTTATCTTGGATACATTTTCGCTTGAGATTATTAAAGAAACTTTCATAGTAAGCCGAATAGCTTCATCGATGTACATTAGAGTTAATTGTTCAAGTGTATTATTATACGATTTACATCAAACTAGTGTCATGAATCTTAACTAGAAATATTGTTGAGAAGATTTGTTGTTTTTTTTGAATATGAGTGACATCCTGCATGATTTATTTGAATGATAGAGATAATAATTATAGTTTTGATAAACATTTGCATATTATTTTTATTTTAATTTTACTTTCACTTCGAAGCATTCGATCTGTCAGAATATATATATAGAAGGTTCATCAATTTTTACTTCATTAGATCTTATAAAACTAAAAAAAAAAGTTTTTTTTAAAACCATAGATGCATTAATTTAGTTAATTATAACTACTATCATTTAATTCGAATTAATCTGAGTACCTAAAAGCGTCCCCTGTTGACATGTCTTTTTATAATATGGGTAAAGAACTTAAAAAATGCTCTTTTTTTTCTACTATCATTTTTTGTGTAAAGAATTGATGAAAGATTTATAAACTTTTATACCTATTCAATTTATTTTTACTTTACTTGGAAACTAAAATAAGCTCATGCGACATTAGAAACTTCTAGAATTTTAATAATATACATGTATATTAATAACAATTACGTCTATCATTTTTTCTTTATCCATAAAAAATTTAATTATAATTTTAAATTGCGATGTGTTTATTATTATATTTATCTATACAGAAAAATATACTGTGAGGAATTTGTTGAATTAAAGTTTATGAAAATCATTGACGTTGTTGTTGAATTATTTTAGACATACTTTAAAATTAGAAAAATATATTAAAAATTTTCATGTAAATCAAGTTTTGGAAAATTAATAATCAACCAACTCAATGAAGTTATTAAAATAATTCGATGAGCTAATAAACGATGACGAATATAACGATATTGTGATTGTTTTTTAAATAAACACTTATATCGATTAAACGCTCCTAAACAAAGAAAACTAATTGAGCCAAATGATGCTAATGAAAATAGAAATGTTGAAAGTGGACAATGTAGATGAAAATTTGTTGTTTGCGCAGTATAAACAATAACAATAATAATATGAGTTAAAAGTATATTAATTAAATGACAACAATCAAATAAAAATCGTATAATAGTATGACGTGAACAAGATTTTGTTTGAAAACATCGTTGAAATAAAATTCCTATATATAATATAGCAGTAAATAAACCCAAAATACAAAGAATAATACTTGTAATCACTTGAAAATTATTATTAATTAATGTTATTTCAGCAAATGAAGATGAATATCGATTATAATTAAAAAGTTGTAAATCGAATTTATCATCGAATGGTTTCGAATTTAAATTATTATTTGAAAAATTTTCAGTTGAAGTTTGTTCCGATATCATCTTGTTAAGACAAGAAAATGCCACGTTGTGTCATTAATATATAATTAAATATTTTTTTTTTATAACAATTAGAAGAAAAAGCAGCATTGACAGATTATGAATAGGATATGAGCACGAACGTTATTTTAACGAGATGAAAGCTTAAGAAAAAAAAAACTAATTTATTTTTGTTTGATATAAAATACCCTTTGCTGTTTCATTTTTCCTTCAGCTTAAAAATAATGATGAATAATCTTTTATGAAAAAAAAAAAGAAAAAAAAAAACGTTAAAAGTTTTATGAAGAACAAAAAAAAGAATAAATATATACTTTATTATTGTTATAGAAAAAGAACGTCTTTTCTTTCGGAAAATTTGTACTTACTCAAGTAAATGAAAAGCTTTACCGGAAGTAGTCTGACTAATAAAATCCTCTTAAAAATTTAGAAATATAATAATATAAAATGAAAGAATAAATCTTTAAATTTTGATGTCTCTTATCTGTCTCTTTCTTCTTCTATGATAAAATAATAAGCGGAATTTTCTAGTTTCCTTCATATGAATATCTTCTTTTCATAATCTACGTCACCAGTGCATTTGGATAGTTGGGATAAAAATAGAAGTGTAAGCTATATTGTTGCGAGGATACAAGTAGAAGAAGAAAAAAAATAAATCCTTGATTTTAAATATGTGTTTACACGATTATTTTATTAGGAAAAAAATATAAAAAGAATTTGAAGGCGTAATTGGATGTGTCAAATGTCAACTCTATCAAATGAAATTGAAAACTATAATTTAAGATATGAAAGGTTTTTTGTAAGACTTGCACTAACAGATTATCTTTTGTAATACGCATTTTTATTTATTTACTAATAAATTTATATAAATATATAATTGATATTGCTTATTTTTTTAACAAAAGTATACATATTATGTAGCTTTATGAAATGATTGAACTTTAATGATAAGAATAACTATTCATTTCACTCATCTATACAATCGGAATAAGACTATGTCGTAAATACTGATCAGTAAATGACGCATATCATCAAAATGAATACAACTCTCTTCATGGATATATTACTGGTGAAAAGCTCACTAGTGGCACACTGAGTAGAATATCAAGACAGTAATAAATTATTCTGTGTATAGGTTTGATCAAAAATTGAAAAGATGAAAACGAATAAGACTTAGTTTGCAATAGGTAAATTACAATGAAGAATGTACTCATATTTTATTATCAGAATTCCAAACAGAGATGATCAAGAAAGATTTTTAATATAAATTGAATAATTTATTATTATTATATAGTAAATCTGTCTATATTGACAATTAAACATATGGCTAAAGAATAAATATCCAAAATGCTAAATAAAATTTATAAATACAGATTGATTGAAATTAAAAATGACATAGATTTATGGGACATCTAACAGCATTTAATGATGAATTTTATATTTATAGATATTTATATAAATGACAATGGAATATACACCATTAGCTTTAATTTGTGTGACAAATTATGACGGTGACTACTTATACATTTTGTCACGATAATGCCTTGTGTCATCTGCACTCTTATAACTGTTCTTCCTTTTAGTCTATATACTATAAATAGTAGAAGAAGCGATCATACATCATAGAATATGGAAAGAGACAAAACAACAGTACTAAGTAAAGATACATAGAGTAGAATAGATGAAATATAATGATCAAATACCGTTATAATTAAAACATGTTCGATAAACTGTTTCATTAAAAACAATTGAAGGTTAATTAATGAATCATAAGAAAAGTGTTCGTATACAATCAACCATTGATTAGAGTATTTACACAGTCAAAAACACAATAAGTCAATATTATGATGAGAATAAAGATAACGACGACTCGAGTCTTGAAAATCCAACTACTATTGCAGCTGTCTTAGTTCTCACTAGAATATTAATATATCATACTCTTTAGTAGTATATGAAAATATTATAAATGATTTGACCGAGTTTTATACTTTTACTCGAAAACTTATTCGTATAAGTACGTTATTATTATCAAGTGTAGTGCATATTTTGTTTTTATTTTATCATTGTTCTTATGTCATAACAATACTCATAAAGATACGCTCTGTGTTAAATTGTTATCTATCTTGTTTATGAATTAGATAACTATTTCAAAATTCTTTTCTTTCTTTTCTTAATGGAGAATAACAGATTTTCAAGTAATGAACAAATTACAAATGATATTGATCATGAGAAATATCATACAGTTTCATTACGTAGTGATTTACCAAGAATCCCAAAATATTACGAAGAAGAATCACTTCACTATGCATCACCAAATGAATTTTGGATGAAAAAATTAGATCCATTATATAACTATGGAAAAAATTCTTCCTCAAAACATGACTCATCTACACTCGATAATATTCAATATAGTATAACCAATGGGCCATGTAAGTTGATTGTATTTCTAACTTATAGAATGTAATTTTTTATAAAATAATTATTCAGATACATCCACTTGTAATAATCATCCTATTCTGACTGCTTTTCTTCGTGCATATAATTCTCATGAAGATATTATTTTATCTCCTGATGATATATGGTTAATGATATGTATTTATTTCGCAAAATATGTTAATAATAATATGGCAAAACTTCGTCATCTTTTTATAAATACACAAAAGAATGAATTACTAACAGTTGACAATGATCAAACAACTGAAATGAAGTAAATAAATTTCGAATATATTTATATAAACAAAAATCTCTTTGTTTTTGTTTTTTTTTAGTTGGGAAAATTTCCTTCAGCAAATATATTTTCAAATGGCAAATTATGTTAAAAATGATCTTTGTCTATTATTAACAAATAATTTTTCTACAACAACGAAAGTTGAGTCTCTTCTTTCATCATTAACAATCATGAGTACATTTAAGAAACGTTTTGATTATACATATTCAATAAATTCTTGTGGAATTCGTCATATTCATTTTATGGGAAATATTGATGATTGGATATTATTACGTGAAAAAACTTCTCAATTGAAATTTTATACGATTGAAAATGATGATTTCTTTGTATATATTAATGGAATATTACCTATACTCGATGAATTTATTCAAACATATCAAGGTAATGTGAATAATCAATTTTGGGATACTATTTTTGATATTAAACATACAAAAGATGAATCAAAGTAAAGAAATATTTTGTCAAAAAAAAAACTTATTTTTATGTTTTTTCCAGTCAATCTAATGGAATGTATATGAATGGTTGGTTTCTTCAATTATGCTATGGAAATCATATGAAACAAACATGTTTTATGTCATGTATTGAACTTGATTCTCTTATCGTACCTGTTCAAGTTGAAAATGAACATACAAATACATCGAAAACATGTTATTTAATTGGAGGTTTTCATGGTGTTAGATCATATAATGAACAACATAAACCAGTCATGAGTTTAGTTGTTATAGATGATATAACAACTATCACAAACCTAGAAAAATAATATATATATCCTTTTAGATTTGTTTTACTGTTTAATACTGATGAAAAAATAAATCACATGATTATACAAAGAAAATTAAAATGTCAAAAACAGTTTGTTAGACTTTGATACTTATTATTGTTTTCCCAGTCCATTTTTCATTAATTATGTACTGAAAAACACATGCCAGTTTTATTTTTATATTCGTATACTCGACTAAAACATAGATAGACTATAATATATAGAACATGTATTAATACTTGAGTATATTTATATAATTTGATAATATTGTATATATGAGAAGATTTCTTGATCCTATTTCGAAATTAGATATACAAGATATATTGGTATATATTTCTAACATGGAAATTCTAACTAAAATATAATCATGTTATGAAATGCGTCTTTCTAAAAAAAAAGTTTATAATGAATCGTATCTGTGCAATAGACATGTGATTTCTTGTTGTTGACAGAATCATTTTCTTTATGTTGGAAATCAATTCTACAGTTGTCAAAACAAAAAGTATGATATCCAAATAATCTTGACGTCAATGGAAATTTAGATCTGTAAGAAAAATCTTATGAGACTGTCATATGCATCCGTTCTAATCTGAGATCTTTTTCAATGTATATAAACATTTGTTTAGCATTCTGAAGAAATATTCCAACAAGAACAGTCGTTCTTTTCTACTTACTTCATATATAACATGGCTCAACGACCAAATTTTAATCGTACTAGAACCAGTACTTTTCGTCCTTTTCTCGCGAATGATACAAATCAATCCAATGATTCAAATTTTACATTCAATAGAAATTCATTTGATGACGATCCAGATTCAATGTTTTATCTTCTTACAGCGCTTATCATTCCATCATTTCTTTGTTTTGCATTTCTCTTCTACAATTTTATTCGTTTACCACAACTACGAACCAAATCAACAAATTTATTAATTATCTGTTTGCTCATCAATAATTTCATTCATGTATGTTATCAATTCTCTTTTATATATATGTAACTGAATCTGTTTTATATAGATATGGGTTGATCTACCATTTCGTCTTTATTTTCTCTTTGAAAATCGTGTTCCTTTTTCGAATCCAACATATTGTCTTATTTGGACATGTTATGATAATATATTAACTACAACTGATCTTCTCATTATGGCATTCACATCCATTGAACGATATTTTTCAATTTTTCATCATTTTTTTCTTCATAAACATGAACGTTTATTCTATCATATACCTATAATTCTATGTTTTCTTGTACCAGCTACTTGGTATACAGTCTTAATATTTGCTTATCCATGTCAAAAAACATTTACATATTCAACTTTTCAATGTGGACCAGTATGCTATTTAACAAGTTCACAAGTACTTGTTAATATTGAAAATTTTGGTTTTTTCATGTTTCCATTATTTGTTATTGTTATTGGCAATACTACTCTTATCATTTGTGTAATAATTCAAAAAGCAAGTATGAAACGTAAACTTCGTCTTAGTTTATGGCGAAATAATTTACGAATGATAAGTCAATTGATGTTTATTGCTGTATTATATATGAGTATATATGTTCCATCATGTATTCTATTAATATTTAGTACTTATGTTCAACGTACTCGATTTCAACCATGGGCAGCATATGTGAGAAACAATTATTTTATACATTTGAAATATATAGTTATCTTTGGATGTCCATTCATGGTACTTGCCGGACAAAAAGAAATGCATCAGAAAATTAAAAATCTGTTTGCTCGTACGAGATGTCAACGACGAGTACGACGGAAAACGGATATCCACCCGTTGACAATGATGAATACTCAAAATCGAAAAGAATGAACCATGTTGAATAGATGTTGTTTTGTTGTATGTTGTAATGATATGATGTTAGTTGTCATTGTCTTATAAGAAAATATATCGGAAAATTTTTATCTCAAAATCTTATCGATCATATTAACATATGATGCTATAGAAATTATATGCAATCTATAAGAAAAATGATATTTCGAAATATTATTAATAAATATCGATCTCTATTGTTTGATTTCGAATAAAATTTTAGAAATTATTTTTCCCGCATGTACTCTTCTTTTCTCAAAATCTTATATAAAATAGGTTAATTTAAATAATTTTCCTATGCTGACGTGAATCTGTTCTTGACAATATTTTAAATATTAGAACATTGAAAATTGAATCTGGTTATTATTCATAATAAACAGTCAACTCAAGGACAATTATTCTTATTTTTAAATCAGCTTAATATTGACAAACAGATATATAAATCCTTTTTCTTCATCTCTCCAGTCATCTTATATTAATCAAAGTAGAAATTATAAAACATACGTATGATTAGATCACTAATATCATCGAATATATAAGATAAATGTGCCGCATCATTATTTTTTATCTTCATAGAAATAAAGATTGTCATAAACTGTCTATTATACTTCAAGGATAAATTGTTAGTGAAAAATTTATGATAAAGGAAATATTTTGGAGAATTAATTAGTGATATAATTGAATTTCACATAAAACCATAAGATTTACTTCGCGAAAATCTGTAATAGCAGTGCAAAAATTCAATTAACAAGTAAAGATTATTTAAATCTGTAGCATCAAATTCTATATTTTTATTACAGATAAAGTTCGATAAACTATGAATTAGGCTTATCACTGCAACGAATCTATGATAGTATTTTTAAAATAAATAAATAAATAAATATGTTTCGAAATAGAAACAATAGTATATACCAGTGGCGGATCTAGGATTTTGGAGGGGGGGGGGTGATTTTGGCTAAAAGCAATTTTTGGAGTCCAATCGAAGTAGTGTGAACCTATTTTTTCATTCGTTTTTGCTGTGAAAAATCAAAAAAAAATTCGGAAGAGGGGGGGACGATCAACCCCATCGCCTCTCTCTAAATCCGCCACTGGTATATACATTCTCCTATCTAGAATATATATATAAATCAAATAAGCTCAATTTTTAGGCTGAACAGACATTTATCTAATGGAAATTCTGAAATCATATTTTGTTTTCCTACAATTCTTGTCATCTCATCAATCATCTGTTTGTTTATTATTAATCGCATTCATATAAATTATTAATTCTCATTTACATACATTGCTTAAATTTTTATTAAATCTATTTTAATTATTTGTCACCTTTTGTATAGATATTGACTGATCCATCACTGTGTCTTTATTGTCTTACTCGAAATGAATATAGTATGTCTGTTCTAACGATGATAGGACTATACATTAGATTCTCTTCAATCAATCAAATACTTGATTTTACGTAACAAAAAAAATGAGTTAATTCTATTTAGTCTTATTGTTCTTTCTTGAATCAAGAAGATACTTTATTGATTACATAATAAATTAATTTTTTCCTATAATATTTAGAAAATAAAACTTGAATAGCTAACATTAATAATCAATGCAAAAATAATCCTAATTAATAACACCCTTTGATTATATATGAAATTCAAATTTTCTGTTATTATTTAAATATTTGCACTTAAAAATAATCATTAATATGAAAATGATTATGTTCATGTTCATTATGATATAGAAGGCGTATGAGTTAGACAATTGAGTAATTCTATATATTTTTATCTTGTTTCGTAACCAAATAAATGAAGAGATTAATCAAATAGTAGAAATTCATGTTATACTTGTTCTCTTAACAAATCATCTTTGATTAACAGTCATCAAGTATATATATATATGACGGCATATTCGTCTTCTCGTTGTTTTTCTTTTGCTAATCTAATACATCTTCACAAATACACACAAAGTATACAAAAAGAAAAAGAATGAAGAAAAAAAAATATTCTTTTTTTAAACTTTAGTTTGTCGTACAAATCGAATTTGTTCGGATGGAATAAAACGTTCTAATGGTATTGGCTGGATTAATGTATGATGATGATGATTATTATTATTAATATGATTTGAATATTGATAAGGTTTTTTTTCATCATCTTCACTAAATGTTGATGATGATGATGTTGATACAATTTTTATTTCAACTGTTACTGATGTTAGGAATGACATTATTTTTAATATTAATACTGTTAATATACATACATATGATACACCAATATGTATATCTAGCGAATTTTCAATTTGTTGAATAATTAATTCTAAATCTTTTGTAAATGTATATATTTGTATATGAGAATAATGTTGACGCATTGATTCAAAAAATTCTAATGATTCAATCGAACGATTACCATTATATTGTATAATAATAATAATAAGAAATAATACAGAAAATAAAGATGATAGAAGTGATATAAGACGAAATAAACTATCATTTAAACAATATATATTACATTGATAACGAGTTATACGAATAATATTAACAATAAAAAATAAAATTTCAAGAATTATTAAAAATATTAATAATTTATGAATTATTTTAATATAGGACGGTGGTTGACATGAACATTTAATATCATTATTTGATAATATAAAATTTGAAAATATACATTGACGATGACTATTTATATTATGACATAGACCATAATTTTTATCATCAAATGATGGAAGAGAATTTTGTCCACATTCTCCACCAACTATACAATGAGAAAATAAACCAAATGAATGTATTTCATCTAAAAACGAGAAAAAAACTCAAAAGATAATTGTTATTTTAAATAAATTTACCTCGACGATAAAGTATTTCAACATATTTATCAACTTCACCACGAATTAATGGATCCATTGGAGTATTTTCTGATAATATGGATGGATTAAATGTTGAGCGTAGTTGAATATATTTCCAATTCGGTAGATATAATGCAATCAAACTCAGAATGAACGATGTCAAACTAAGAATGAGTGATAAAATAATAAAAATACGTGCGAGCGATTGCTTCATTCATTCAAACAATCATCTTTGTAACAAACAAAAAATGGTAATTATACATTTGAGATTATTTATAGTAATCTAGATTTTCATTAATAGAATAAGATAATTTAAATAAGTAATAAGAAAACAATTTATTTAATATTTACAAATAGAAAGACAAAGAACCTAGATTATAAATATATATGTTCAATGAAGCTTTTATGAACACTAATATTAGTAATAGAATCTTCAGTTAGAAGGACTCTTATAAATCAGACTTATATGAAGAAAAAGCGGATTACATACCTCTCTAATATCAGTGAGAATCATCTTGAGTACAAAAAAAATCTAAGTACTAGAAATAATTTGAGAGGTGTCGTCAATCTAGTTGCACTCTTTGTAATGCATTGCAATTAGTTATCAAAGCAGAAAAGGACAGTGTAAGAAAAAAGAAGAAGAAGAAGAAGAAAAAAAGAAGTCACTCAATGCAAATTGAACTGTGTGTTTATGACAAAATGACAACATAACGGTTTTTTTTGTTCCATGTAATTTGTATACTTAGCGACAGGTAGATATGAGTATATGTTGCTCATAAAATAAATGCCACCGGATGTACGACTATATTTATGACAGCTCAATGAACAGTGATGTTCCTCCTTCTCTTCTTTCTCTCATTCGATGTATTAGAGAAATATAGATAGATAGATAGATAGCAAAAAAAAGTAGAGAAAAAAAAACTCAGAGAATATGTTGGTCACGTCTTCATTATATATATGAGAGATAGACATGCTAATATGTCGGAGAAATGATTCTCTGCTTCACCTGCTCCCTTTTCAACACTTTGTATAATGTCAATGAGTAGTCATAATAATAATTCGGACATTCTGTTTCTCGCTTTTTCTCTTTGTGTCAATCTTCTTTTCAAATTAAATAGACAGACATTCAGGCGTAGAAAAAGTAGTAATACAAAAGAATACCGCCTTTTTTTTCTACTTACAACATTTGAGGAGGTAAAAAAATGAAACTAAGAAAGAAAAAGAAAGAAGAAAAAAAAAAGGTATTATTCTATTTGAATAATTGACGTAGTTTTGTTTGCATATTGATTTTAAAATGACATCAAATTACAAACGTCTCTGATCACATCACTACTTCGTCTTCTCTTTCTCTCTTGAGCTGACAGATAAAAAAAACAAATATGAAGAAGTGATAGTAAGATTAAAATATAGCATCGAGTATCGATACACATGTGTATGTGAACTGATATCTTTTAAAACATCAGTGCCTATAGAATATGCCATAGAGAATAAGTAAGTATGCGAAACAACTACTGTGTCGTCACTATGGGTAGATGTTCAAGTGGGAGGATATGACTTTTTATGAAGAATTCACACTCGGAAATCTTGACAACGCAGTTCTCTCATATTGTATAGTAAGCGATGTCACTTTTCGTCTTTTCTTTTTTTCCCTCTCTCTCTTTTTTTTGCTCGTTGTTACAGTACTAAATAGGCGCCCAGAGAGATAAAAAGAAGACTTAATAAATTCATTGTTTGTATCAAGAATAAAAAGAAAAGGTGTGGACAATAATTGAAAGAATAGTCACTAGAGACAAGGTAATATAAGTAGAATTGGTCAGAAAATATGATAAATGAGATCTGACATGCTTGCAATGTCTAAATTAATTTTTCTTTTTTTTCTTCTCCTCTAGTTCTTCATTTACTAAGTCATTCTCTTGTGTCTGTACTTGTTCTAGCGTAGTAAAAGAAAAATGTAAGAAGAGAATCGGTTAAGTTCTTATAGGCATCTATCGATGGTTTGATTAGGATTCCAGCGGGATTTGTAGCATGACTAAATTGTTATCAAGAGTGACTATGCATGTATGTGTCACTCGAACAAATATTTAATGATAATAGATGCAAGAAAAAGAAAAACGACAGACAACATTTCCGGACGTAGAAAACATCAAAGCATTGGTTTTTAGACCAATGTATATGATTGATTGATCCTTCTCTGTCTGCTTTCTTTTTTTTTGTTATATTATGACAGGTGAGAAACAATGAACAGGAAATCTGTTAAGTATCTCTTATTCAAATCAGCAGTAAAAATCGATGATTCATCATCATTATTATTATTATTATTGTCCTTCGTTTTCTACTAGATAATATCTACTGCTTGTTTATTCTACATAACAGACAGTCAAACAAATAGAAGTTCTACATTTTATAAACAATAATTGATATTTTTCCATGTACGTGCTTCTATTTCTTTCTAAGTGATAAATGACAAACTGCAATGTATATATATATATGCATTTATCTGATAAGTTAATACAAAACACATTGTTTCTCTTAACTATATTTCTATAGAAAACACATTTCTACAGTAAACATTCAGAATTAAATATCATCTTATTTTTTTGTGTTAGATCAAAATACACTTTGTTACATACTAATTAATTACTTGATAATGTATAAAAGACATATCGATAAACAAACTTTATAATTAAACTTATTTTTGCATGAATGAAGGACCAATATATATATATAAAATATTACATTTAAGAATGTATAAACCCATTTATTCAGTAGAATATGATTACATAATTCAATGTTGAACTATTCAGATTAGTTTATTTTTGAAAAGAACAGAAAAGAAAAGATATGGATTATACTATTCTATTGTTAGAATAGAAACTAATGCAATTTAAATACAAGAGACTTATGAAATAAAAAAGTTAAGATAATATTGAAAAGATTATAAAAAGAGCATGCAAATGTTTTAATGTACTGTAAAAACTTCTAAGAAATATTTTCTTTTTATTTATATGAATCAATTAATACATTATAATATAATAGAAATTATCGACAAATACTTAAAAAGCTTTTTATTCATAATTCATACGTTTTATTTATCAATGAACTTTTTATAATTTGAAGAAACAAAAAAATAGCATCAAATATTTATTATTATATATATATTAAATAGTCATTTAGTTGATGAAGTTTTCATTGAATAAAACAATTTTACAATTATATATACCATGCCATTTAAATGCTATTTATATCGATAAAATTGATAATTTTTATTTTGACGTAAACTATTTAATTTAACCTTCTTATTTATATACAATGAACCCTACAATCTATTGATTAGATTTTTATTGATTTTCATTTCATATCTAACGGCATCT